TCCCCGAAGCAAAAGCCCAAGTGCTGCTATGGTGACAGGGTTCGGTGTGCCAGAGAAAGCTAGACCCCAACTCGATTTCGGGGGTAATAAGCTTGAAGTAAGGACCGAAACAGTTCGCATGAGGGCGTAGGTCGAAAAAAGCGAAACCTGGGAGCTTCCAGGAAGTGCTAGTGGTACAGAAAATCAGTCCGCAAGAATGCCGAGACTGACTTATCGCCTATGCACAGGGACCCCTGTGGTTGTTCGGGCTGGGTCGGTAATCAAAGCCTGACCCGCTACGACGGGGCCTAACCTGAATAGATTGGGTGTCTCTTAGAGGTAGTTGATGAAGACGTTCTGCGTTCTCCAGAAGCCTGCCCTCAGAATGTGTTCGAGGGGGGCGCCTGACGCTAGTGCTAGTGAGTTAGCAATCGCACGGACCTCATGTGCTCGTACTTGGTGTTTCTGCAAGGTCTGTGTTGAGGAGGATAATGTACATGTATTATAGACCTCCAGTACAGTCGCAGTAATCCACCTGGAGATGGAAGTCGGGGAGGCCGGCTTATCCTGTTTGCCAGGGCTGTAACACAAAAACATGTGTTTGGTTCCCCGTCTGGAAAACCTGGTACGGTTCTCTAGCAACTCAACGCTCGGACCGAACAGAGAAGCAATTCCTGCTGATCCTCCGGACCGACAATATTTGACAGCCGGGGGATGACGATCGGTTGAGGATCGTGTCCTGGGATTTGGTTCTTGGCGAGAAACCCGATTCGTGTCTTAAGTACAACTTGATCGTCCATAAAGGCAACCGTCTGCGAAGGACAGTGCGCCTAGCTATGACCGGCGCCTACCTGAGGCGAGGGCCAGTAGGAAGACTGTTTTCCACGTCAAAAACTTGAGTGGTGCTGAAAAGAGGGGCTCGAAAGGTGGTCTGCCTAGGGCTGCTAAAACAACCGACAGATCCCAATTGGGCGGTTCCCTTGTACGGGTCCTCGGCCTCTGATTATGGAAAGCAGTAAACAGTCTCTTAATAATAGGACAATCGGCTAGACTTGACCCCAAAGAGTTCTCTATGGCGGGGGACAAGGCTGACCTGTAGCCAACGATCGCTGCGTAGGACAAACCTACTTCGTCAAACAAGTGGACAAAGAAGTCTGCTACCTGGCCGATAGAGGGATGGCATGGATCAATCTCCCTTCCACTACACCAATTAGCGTATGCTCGCCATTTCGAGTCGTAGGCAGTGTTGGTGGAATCCCTGTTCGCCCTGACCAGGACGTTGGCAGCCCGCTTAGATAGACCTTTCGTCTGCGCGAGTTTACTGAGAGCCTCCATGCGTGTAAGTGGTACACTGCTGGGCTTGTTGGCAGTGCGCCGTCCGGTTGGGACAGCAAGTCTGGAAGCACTACTGGTGTTTCGACTATCATTTCCAGCAGGAGCGGAAACCAGGCCTTGGTCGGCCAATTGGGTGCCACCAGAGTTAATATGCAGGTGGGCTCTTGTCGAAGTTTCTCCAGTACCCGGTGAATTAGCGGGAAGGGAGGTAAGGCGTACGCATCCATGTGGGACCACGGGATCGATAAGACGTCCACGGTCCAGGCTCCTGGTGTCGGCAGGAGTGTTACGTACGTCGGGAGCTTGGCGTTCTGGGGTGCAGCAAACAGGTCTATCTTTGGACCGTCCCACAGCCTGGAGGCTACCCACTGGGGTATCTACCACTCCGTGTTCTGGAGACTGAGACGGAGCCGCCTCGAAAGGGCGTCTGCCAGACCGTTCCTTTACCCCTGGAAGGTGGTGTGCGGTTAGCTCCACATTGTATTCCAGGCACCAAAGGAGAATTTGCTCTGCTAGGACCGACAACGATGGGGAACACGTCCCCCCCCTCCTTGTTGATATAGGAGACCACCGCTGTGTTGTCAGTGCAGAGCAGGGTAGAAAGCAGGGTAGAAAGCGTAATAGTGCTAGGCGTACTGCTTTCAGCTCGAGACAGTTGTTATGGTGGTCCCGAACCCACTGCGGGGGCCATATTCCTTGGGCATGTTTGTCCAATAGATGCGCTCCCCACCCTTGGAGGGAGGCGTCTGTTACCAGAGTCATACATTTGTAGCTGTGACGAGTGGGTCCAAGGGGACCCCCTGCCCGAGGTTGGTCAGTGACGACCACCAGGACAGGGTTTCCTTCACTTGGTCCGGGATCAATACTCGCCTGTCTAGTTCCCGTAGGTGAGCTTGGTGTTCCAATAACAAGCGTTGGACCGGGCGGCTGCGTAGTGCGGCCTGGGGAACTACCCTTCGAACGGAGGTCATCATTCCGATGGGCCGCATTAGTTCTCGGAGGGACACTGAGGGAACGGTGACTAGGCGTTCTGCTAGGTTGCTTAGCGCTAGGCAACGCGTTTGAGATGGGCGAACCAGGCCTACCTCGGTGTCGAACTCCATGCCCAGAAACACCAACTGTTGGGTCGGGATGGGACTTGGGGTCGAATTGGGGTCCGAATCCGAAATTGCCCCGATAGGGTAGCGTTTGGTCCAGCGAAAGGGGTTATGCAAAAGATTACCCCAGCCCGGGGCTTTTGGCATTACCTCCTCTGCGGCTGACCAACGACCGCCCCTCAACACCGTCTGTGCGCCGTCCGCCACGCTCAGCGCTCGGCTGGACCAGGAGAGACGTGCAGGTGGGGTCGATCTGGATCCCGGTGCCTGCGATCCCATCAGCCTTGAAGCGACCGTGAGTGGTTGCTTTAGAATCAAGGGTGGGGGAATATACATTGTGTCACCTGGACTGATAATATTCCGCATCACCCCAACGTCCTGTATGTCCTGCCCCGACAGCCCTGCCCCGAGAACGGAGCCTTGGCTACCAGCATCCCCGTTGGTGTTTCGTGTCCGAGGTCCCCGAGGAGAGCCAGTGTCACTAGCCTGAGCCTCGGCCTCCCCCAAGTTAGCGGAGGGGTCACGGCTGGGAACGGGGGGTTCCCCGGAAGAGACGTGTCTAGAATGCGAACGGTGCTTTCTATGTTTCTTCCTGCTTGCCGGCTGAGAGGCCACAGTGGAGACAGCTCGCTCCGACTGCATTTGGTCTACCCGGCCTGCCAGGGACGCAATCTGCCCTGACAGACCTTCGACCAACACCTTTATTTCAGCGACAAAACCAGCGCCGTGCGAGGATGGTTCCACAACGGGACCCTGGGCGGCCCCATAGGAGGAAAAACCTCTAGGGGCGCAGCCTCGCTGTTGCCAGTGAAGTCGGGTAACCCACTGCCTGAAAGAACAGACTGTGCAGATGCCCTCCGATCAGTGGGGGGGAGACCGAAATACGTCGGTTCCTCCACCATCGGGCCTTTTGCTTGGTATCCCGGTACGAGTACCGGTAGCCGAGCGCGAGGACTTCTCACTCATGCCAACGCACAACTCACCCATACCTATGCCGGTTCCACCTGCTGCGCGACCTTTTCGCGAGCGAGCAACGCGGTCAGTCTCGGCAATCTTTACAAACTGCTGGAAAGAATCCCAGGCTTCAGAACCCAAGTGATTGCAAATATTCTCTGGGCAGACGCCCGAACCCCGTACGCAAGTAATACATCGGTAGCATTTAGCATGTGGGTTCCAGTCTGCAAGTTTTGTGTACAATGGTTGCAGACCCGCCTCAAAAACTAAGGGGATAATACCGGCGGCGAGCTTCTGGCGTTGCCAGCGCATCTATCCATTTCTAAATACATTGTAAATAAAAGACGACATGCATGAGGGAAACGAAATACAGTTGTAAAAGGTGCCGCCATGAAACCAACAAGTGGTTACGTGGTGGCGCCGGGTTTTAATTTCTTTGTTGTGGAAAAGCATAACACACAAAGGGGAAAACGACACAAGGGTAAAAAGACAAGAAAAACTTATCCTACCAGCTAGAATGTCGGATGCCGCGGCTGCAGCAATGACCCACGCTAGAAACCCGGACAGGAAAAAGCAAAAGAGCCAGGGAGAGCTGCTCAGAATCA